CCCCCCCCACGGTGCACCCCGGCAGGGACTACAAGGACAAGTACAGCCACCTCGTTGGCCGGGCAGCGGCCAAGGACGCGGCCCACACCATGGAGGCCAACAAGGTGTACGGCTGCGGTGAGCCGGTGCTCCTCCTGTGCGGGGGCGGTGGGCGGCCTGGTGGGAGCCGGGCCGTGGGGCCGCGGGGGAGCCCCCCGCCGAGCCCGGCCACTCGCTGCTCACGCCCCTCGCTCTCTGCCCCCAGTGCCCGTGGCCAACAAGAGGGACACCCGCTCCATCGAGGAGGCCATGAACGAGATCCGGGCCAAGAAGCGCCTGCGCCAGAGCGAGGAGGAGGGCTCTGCCCCGGCGTCGAGCAGCTCGTAGGCGCGCAGGTGGTCCCCCTCCGACCGCACGCGAGAGTGCCGGGGACCGCCTCCAGAGCGCACGCGGGGGTCCCGTCGGGGGAGCCGCAGAGCAGACCGGAGGGGCAGCGCCACAGGGCACCCGTCCCCTCCCCGTTTCCCGGGGTGTCCTCCCCTTTCTCGTTTCTCGTGCGTTTTGAGTACTTAGTCTGTAGCCTAGGAGTGCATTGTAATTCCGGCCGAGCGGAGGCGGGACGTGCAGCGGCTCGCGGGGGGGGGGGCGGCTGTGCCCGCTGCGGCCTTGCAGGGCGGGCCGTGTGCGTGGGCTTCTGGAAAATCCCGTTTAGCAAAAGCAGGAGAGTGAAGAGAGGACCGTCCTGTGAGGTCTCCTTCCCACGGGTGGCGTTCGGCCGGGCTCCTTTGCTGGGCCCCGCTGTGGGGGCAGCCCCCTCCTCTGCTTCCCCTCCCTAGAGCCCCACGGTGGCCCCCTCTGAAAGGCTTGCTGCACTGCCCCCTCTCCCCACCAGGGGGAGTGCGGCCCAGCTGCCAAGCCCCCGCCTCCCCCCCCCGCCCTGTGCCCTTCAGGAGGTCCTCAGCGCGCTGGTGGCTGGGCCCCCCGCCCGTCATGTGCACCCTGCGGGGGGAGGGGAGCCCCCAGTTCCCCCGCAGGGCCTGGGTGCCATCGGGGGCGGGGGCCCTGGCTTTGGCGGCGGGGGGCACGTGCGGCACTCCCCGGCCCGCCTCCCCGCTCTCGCTCTCTTGCATGTCCTCACCCAGCCGGAGTTTTATTTGGGGTGTAAACTGAAGTGGACTTTGCGCCCGCCCTTCCCCGTCGAGGGCGTGGAGAGGCAGCCCATCCCTGGTGCTCCGGCCTCTCCTCCTGTCGGATCCCAGAACGCCTGTTGTAAATTCGGGGCGGGGGAACCCGCTGGGGCGCTCCATTAAACACTGGTCCCAAACCCTGGTTTGTGGTTCCGAGTGATTCTCTGGGGAAGGGTTGGTGGGGCGCCCGGCGTGTCCGAAAGCTGCGGAAAGCGGGCCAAAGGGGCGCCACCGGGGCGGGAGTCGTGCCGCGGGCCGGACTGCGCCGGCTGTGGGTCCGCAGGCCGGGAAACGGGCCCTCGCCAGGCGGGGCTGCTCGGCCGATGGCCCTGCGGGGCAATCCCCCTTGGTGGCCCCACCTGGAGGTGCTGAACGGAGACCCGTGGCGGGGCAGGGCTGCTCTGGCCCGGGTGTGGTGAGAGGGACCCGGCGGTCCGAGTCCGGGTGCCCCTTGGCCAGGAAGCCAGCCGGGGGACTCGGCCGGTCGCGAACCCCCAGGTTGGTTCTTGTGGGGTGGGTGGGATCGCGTGCAGGACGAAAAGGGCGATGTCAGCCCCTTTGAGCTCTTTGGGGGGAAAGGTAGGATACGAGAGTTTGTGGGCCTCCTTGTGGGGCCTCGGGCCACTGCGGAAGGCGGGAGGCTGGCTGGGCCTCGCAGCCCTTCTCGTCTGCTGCAGGTGCTTGGGGGGTTCTGGCAAGCCCCCGCGTGTGATGGAAAGGCAGGGTGTGCATCTAGGCGGTGGGGCAGAGGGCGACCCCCGAGGAGCACGGACGGGACTCGTTTTCTGGGCGCAGCCTCTGCGGGGGGGGGGGGGGGGGGGGCCGGTTGGCCAAGGGGGAGGATGCAAGCAGAAGGGGAAGCTAGTTGAAGCCGGTCAGAGCTCGATGGAAGGGGAAGCTGTGGCCGCTGCCCCCTCCCCCCAGCAAGAAGCACGCAAGAGTCGCTTTGCCACAGTGGTCTTTATTTGGTGCTCCCAGACGGGCTCAGGCAGAAGCTGGGCGGGCGCATGGCGCGTGCGCATGCGCCGGGCCTGGGGTGCCGAGGTGGGCTGGTGCGCAGGCCGTGCCGGAGGCCCCAGGCGGCAGGCGGCTGGGGGGGCCTTCCTGGGACAGGCCTGCGGGCCGGGGCCGCGCTCACTTGGCCAGAGGGTGCCGGAATTTGCGTCCGGCAAAATGCGCCTTGTCCCCCAGTTCTTCCTCGATCCTGCAAGGAGGAGGGAGTCGGTCAGGAAGCAGCAGCAGCCGCGGGTCAGCGCTGGCGGAGCCGGCCTGCGCTCCCGCCCCACACGCCCACGGGGTAGAGGGGCCGCCCCACTCACCTCATCAGCTGATTGTACTTGGCCAGTCGCTCGGAGCGGCAGGGCGCCCCAGTCTTGATCTGCAAAAGGACACAGCGCTCTTCAGGATGAGCCAGGGGGGCACCCGGGGGGGGGGTCCGGCCGCAGCCTGTGCTGCGCACTCACCTGCCCGGTGCAGAGCCCCACGACCAGGTCGGCGATGAAGGTGTCCTCCGTCTCCCCGGAGCGGTGGCTCACCATGACGCCCCAGCCGTTGCTCTGTGCCAGCTTGCAGCTGAAAGGGGGCAGTGGGAGGTGAGGCAGGCGCCGCGCCGGAAGCCCCCCGGATCGGGTGGGCCCGCCCCGTGGCCCCCGCCCCCCCGCCGGCCCCGGCCACTCACGCCTGGATGGACTCGGTGACGGAGCCTATCTGGTTGACCTTCAGCAGGAGGCAGTTGCAAGCCTTCTGCTCGACGGCCTTCTGGATGCGCTTGGGGTTGGTGACTGTCAGGTCGTCTCCCACAATTTGGATCTGCACCTGGGTCAGGAACGTCTTCCAGGTCTCCCAGTCATCCTGGTCAAACGGGTCCTCGATGGATACCACTGTGGGGGGTGGAGGATGAAACCCGGCGTCCCACTGATCCCCCGCCTTTTCCTCAGCCGTGGCTTGCAGTGCATCCCACAGGCAGGAAAGCCAGAGCTCAGCCCGGGGCTGAAGTGTGAGCCGTGCACTCCTGAGCATGTGCAGAGGGCTCATCCCTTGCGGTGCAGCAGGGTAGAGCCCACGGGTGCCTCTTCAGAGGCAGCTTCCGCTTACAGACCCTGTGGAAGCCCCCCCCCCCCCCCCGTTCTGGCTCCACACGGACCCCATCTCACCCGGGTAGTTCTTGATGAAGCTTTTGTAAAGCTCCCCCAGCTTCTCGCCGGTGATGTAGCGGTTCGGATCGTCGGGGGACTTGAAGTCCAGGTCGTATTTGCCTTTGCGGAAGAACTCGGAGGCCGCCACGTCCATGCCGATGACCACTTTGTCCGGGTAGCCGGCCTTCTCGATGGCGCTCTTCAGCAGCTCCAGGGCTGGCGTGGAGGGGAGAGGGGGAGTCAGGCGGCGTAAGCACCCCCCCGACGCAGCACTGTTTCTGCACCCGGTCGGGGGGGCCGCTGCAGTCGGCGGGGAGGGGCTCGGCGGGACCCTCGGCCTTGTCACGAAGCGGCCTCTTTCTGGGCTGCAGAGAGCTGCACCTGACGAGTGCTGGCCTGCCTCCCGCCCCCATGCCTCTGCCTGCCCCCAGGGCGGCCCCCACGCATGGCAGAGGGCAGGCAGGGGACCGACCCCCACTGCCCAGCCGGGGCGCAAGCTCCGTGGGTGGCGCTCCACCCGGCACGGGGGCCTCCGTCCGGGGCCCCGCGGTCCCATCCTCCTCCCGAGGTGCCCGCCGCGCTCGCGTGGCCGCCCTTCCGCTCCACGGGGGGAGGGCCCCTGCGGCCACCGAGCCAAGGCGGCCTTCCCAGCCTGGCACGTCCCCCCACCGGCCCGCCCCAGTTCCAGTTACAGCCTGGGAGCTAAATCTGGCCCCAGCATTTAAAGGGCAAGGTGGCCGGGCTGGGGGGCTGGGGGGGGCTGGCTGGCCGGCCGGCCGGGTGAAACACAAGCCCGAGAGGCGGCTCCAGCAGCCCCCGAGCAGGTGGCGGCGGTACCTTCGTTGTTCTCGAGGATGTTGGGGGCGAAGCCTCCCTCGTCGCCCACGTTGGTGGCGTCCTTGCCGTACTTGCTCTTGATGACGGCCTTCAGGTTGTGGTACACTTCGGCCCCGATCCGCATGGCCTCCTTGAAGCTGGCCGCCCCCACCGGCAGGATCATGAACTCCTGCATGGCCAGCTTGTTCCCGGCGTGTGAGCCTCCGTTGATCACGTTGAAGGCCTGCCGCACGGCGAGAGGGAGGGGGCTGACGGCCGGGACCCTTGTCCGGGGCACTCTGCCCGGCCCCACACCGCCCCTGGCAACGGGACAGGCCAGAGCAGCCTCGGCCCGGCCCAACGCCGCGCTCCCTCCTCCCCTCGCTCGCTCGGCCGGGCTTTGCCCAGGGCACTCGCGGGCCGGGCAGGCCCCCGGCACCGCACGCCAGAGCCCCAGGCCGCCCCCCGCAGGAGCCCCGGCCCGGCTCCACCGCTGCCACGCGCCTCAGCCTCCCTCCCCGGGCACTCACGGGGACGGGCAGGATCAGGTCCTTGTTCCCGGCCAGGTCCGCCACGTGGCGATAGAGGGGGACCCCTTTCTCCGCCGCCCCGGCCTTGCAGACCGCGAGGGAGACACCCAGGATGGCGTTGGCCCCGAACTTGGCTAGGAGGAGGAGAGGAGGCCGGTGAGACGGGCGGCCGCAGCCCGTCGGGACGCACGTGGTCCCGGCCAAGCAGGGGCCACGGGGCCCGGGGGTGGGGAGCAGACGTACATTTGTTCTCCGTGCCATCCAGCTCGAGCATTAACTTATCGATCTTCTCCTGCTCCACCACGCTGATTTTCTGAGAGAGGGAAGAGAAGTTGGGGTTGTGGACTGTTCCCCCGGAATTCCGGATTCCGGGAAGCCCGAGACATGGAGCACGCACAGAATCGCCGCTGGGCACTTCTTCCCGCACACCCCCTTCCCCGCCCCATCAGGAGGCCGGCTCCGGCGTGCCCCCTCTGGCCAGCGGACGCAAACCGGCGGCCTCAGAGCCCGGCTGCCCCTCCGGCCCCCCACTCCACTCAAGGCCCCAGCAAGGAACGGGGCGCGAGGCCTGGCTCGAACGGAAGCCCCGCCTGCCGGCCACCGGCAACGGACTGCAGGCAGCCGGCCCCACCCGTGGGACGCGGTGGGCAGCGGGGCGGTGTCCCAGGAACCGGCCGGGTGGAGCGTGGCCAGCGACCCTGGGATGCTGGCAAGTCTGGCTTGGGGGGCTCCTCTCGGCCGCAGGACACCCGGCCCCCCGGCACGCTCACCTTCTCAATCAGGGCAGGGCCGATGGTCTTGTTGACGTGGTCGACCGCTTTCAGCACCCCTGGGAGACACCGGAGCAACATGCAGGTGGGGCGCCCGCGAACCGCCAGCCCCCCGCCTGCGGCCCAAAGCCCTCGGCCCCCGCTGGGGCTCTGGCGAGGGGGCTGGCGGACGCCGCCCAGGTGGTGCGGGCGGAGGGATTGCGCCAGACCTGGCGAGGCAGGTGCGCCCACGGGGCTTCGGGGGGGCCGGGCAGCCCGGGACTGCGGGCGCCTCCTGTTCCGGCTCGGCCCACCGGCTCGCCCTGCCGGCCCCCTGCGTCTGGGGAGGCTGGGGGAAGCGGGGGCCCGAGGCGGCGGCTCCCCCGCCTCCGCCCGCTCCCCCTCCCCAGCGCTTGGGTTGCTGCCTGCCTCTCCTGCCGCAAGAGCCGGGCACACGCCCGCCCGCCCGCCTCCGCGGCTCCCAGCGGGGCTGCCTCCTCTGCAGCCCCCCGCCCGGCCCCCTGGCCCAGAGCACCCGCCCCGCCCCGCCCCGCCACAGGCCACCTGCCGGAAGGCCGCCCCGCCTCACCTTTGCCCAGGTACCTGCCCTTGTCCCCGTCGCGGAGTTCCAGGGCCTCGTAGATGCCGGTGGAGGCCCCGCTGGGCACAGCAGCCCGGAACATCCCTGGGGGTGGGGGAGACGCAGCCGGGTGAGTGCCCCCGCTCGGGCGCTCAGCAGCGCCCTGCCCCGCCCCGGACTGGCCCCACGCCGGCCCGCTCACCCCTGCCGGTGTACACGTCCACCTCCACCGTCGGGTTCCCCCGAGAGTCGAGGATCTCACGGGCGTAGATTCTCAGGATCGACATGTCTGAGGAGGAGGAATGGCCGGGGCGCGGGAGTCAGCGGCTGCAGGAGTCCCGGTCCCCCCCAGCGTCCCCCGACCCCCCGCACTCCCCTCTCCCCAGGCCCGGCTGCCGGCCCCCCAGACCGCCTGCTCCTGCTCCTGGAAGGCTGGCCGGCACTTAACACCCCAGAGGGGGAAGGGAAGGAGCAGCTGCCGAGATTAAAAATAGCCCCCTCCCCCCCCCCCCTCTCCCCCTCCCCCCCCCCAGGGAAATGTCTCCCCGCCTCTGGAGCTGACGGCCCCAGTGCCCCCAGTACGCCCACCCAGCGCAGCCCCCGGCCACCCACCCGCGGCCAATTCCTGGGCTGCCGGAAGGCTCTCCTGCTCTGACAGGCACGTTTCTGCCCGGGGCAGACAAAGGGGCACCCCGAGTCCCGCCGTGGGGAGATCCTGGGGTGTGGGGTGCCGCCTCAGGCAGAGGCAGAGGACTGCGTGGTGGCTCAGGGTTCCGGAAGCGAACGGATGAGAACCCTCGCCGGGCCGGTCCAACGGTCCCTCGGGTCCCGGCCCTCCGGTCACAAGGTGGCCGGGCGGCTGCCTGCCAGCTCGCTCCCCGGGACGGGCACGACCCGGCGGGCAGAGCGGCTGTCCCCGCAACGGACGGAGGGGTCCCGAGCAGGAGGGGCTGGACGCCCGCTTGGCCCCCGCCCCTGGGGGCCTCCCAGGCCCCTCACTCACCGGTGCCGGCGTGGGGCTGCCTCGGGGTTGCTGGCTGTTGCTGGAGCTGCCGCGGGTGCCCAGCTCGGCGCTCGCCCAGCCTTTATACGGGGCATGTGACGCAACTGCTCTGCCCCACCCCACGTGGCCAGGAACGGCCGATAGGCGTTAGAGCCCAAGGAAATATCTTGGCAGGCCCGGGAGGCGCTTGTTGGCACCCTGCCTGCCCGCCGCCTCCCGGGAGCCAGGACTTCAGACTCGGCCCACAGGCTGCCCGTCACTGGGCGCGTGTCCCTTCGGCCCCAGCACAGGCCGGAGCGACGCTGCCGGTTTCTCCCGGCGGAACGGCTGGGGGGCTCTCCCGGGGAGGCGGGCAGAGGGGCTGCTGGCTCGGCCAGGCGGCCTCTGCGTGGCTCAGAGCGAGGGGCGAAGCCCGGCCTCCCCAGGAACCACGGGCAGGCTCCCCGCGGGGCCCTCTGTGCTCAGCGCCCCCTGCCGCCGGCTGGTGCGCCTCCGTGCGCAGCGTTAGACCGGGAAACCCAGAGCGGGGGCCTGGGGGCCGGGAAGCTCAGCCAGTGGCTGCAGGCCAGCCGCTCCCTCCTGGCCTAGCCCACCTTCCAGGGTTGGGAGGAAACAAGCGGCGTGAGGCTTCGGCGAATGGGGCGGCATAAAAACGTTTTAATAAATAAAAATAAATAAATAAAATGAAGCCGCCTGGGCTCCTCGCAAGAAGTGCGGGGCAGGAACGCCGGAAGGGACGGCCGCAGGCTTGTGGGGGCCCCTGCCAGAGCGCGGGGTGCAAAGACGCAGCTGCCCCTCCGCTTGCCTGGCGCCCCACTGGACCAGGGCCGATCCCTTCAACGCAGCCCTCTCTGCAGGGGGGCACAGGGGCCCCGGGGATGCCAAGGGCGGTGCAGCCGCAGCCATGAAAGCACAGCCCCCCCCCCCGCTTCTCCCTCAGGAGCTGACCCGACGGCACGGCGCTTCGGGCGCAAACGTGCGGCTCTCTGGCCCGGCTGCAGCAGCGGCTCGCGCTGCAGCACGTCCGGCCCGGAGGGTCCCGTTCGCGCCCAGGGGCCTCTCCTCCATGCCGCCGCAGCGGTTCCACGTGCCGGAGGGGGAGGCCGCGGTGAGCGGCGCATGGCTCGAGGTGAGGCAGGTGCGCCCGGAAGAACGCGCCGCTCGAGGCCCCGCGGCACGGGGGGCGGGTGCCTTGGAACCCGGGCGGCGAGCACAGCCCCCCCGGATCCCAGCTACCTTTGATGGCCCCCGGCCACAAGGCCCTGCTTTGAAGTCTTGGCCTAAATTTAGCGCATGCTAAAGGTCAAAGGCTCCATTCCAAGCAGCCGCTTAAAGGACGAGGCAGTAACCTTAGCTGGGGCTCGCCTTTCACCGCGCGGAGGGGGAGCCCGTCTCGGGCGCGGGGGAGGGGCGGGCCGAGGCCCCCGCACCAGGCGCTGAGGCGGCGGCGGGGGGGGCGCGCGGGGCCGGGGGGCCACCATCTGCGGCGAGGAGGCTCGGTTGGCAAGCTCCGCGGAGGATGCTGGCGCGCGGGCCGGGCTGGGCCGGGCGGTCGGGGATGCGCCCCCCCCGCCGCGCACGTGCCACCCCCTGGCGGGCGCTCGGCACTGGCGGGGCACCCCTGGCCGGGCCGGGCCGGCGAGAGCCTTCGGGAACGCGCCGCCGCCTCCCCCCCCCCCCCCCAGCCCGAACCGCCGGCGGCCTTTGCGTGCGGCGGCACCGGTCCGGCCGCTTTCCCGAAGGGCGTGCGCCCCTCTGGGCCCCCCGGCGCCCACATTCTCCGCCCGCCCGCCCGCCCGCCCGCAGCACCAACGGGGCCCTGCTGCGCCCCTCCTCCCGGCTGGGGGCCCAGGGCCGCGTCGTGCGCAGCCGCAGCCGAGCAGTGGCGCAGGGCCAACGCCGTTTCCCGCCTGCAGACGGCCTCCAGCGAGCCGAGCGCCCGGGCGGCCCGGGTCCTCGCAGCAGCCTCGCCTCGCCACCCATCACGCCACGCCACGCCACGCCTCGCCTCGCCTCGCTGCGACGGCCCCCCGGTGCCTCAGCCGGAGCGCCGTGGCCGTGGGGTGGGGTGGGTGTCGGGGGCGCGTACCCTCCCGGCACGGCCGGCTGGGACTGGCGGGGCCGGACCGCCCAAAGGCCGGCGGGCTCCGGGAGGCTCGGCCTGTGAGCCCAGCCAGCCCTGCTGGGGAGCCGGTCCAGCTGGCGCCGGCGGGAGTCGCTCGGGGGTCGCACCCGCACTGCTCCTGGCAGGAGGCCTGCGGAAGTACCTGCCTTCCTCGGGGGCCGCGCTGCGCTGTCCCGCTTCGTCCGCTGCAGGCCGGTCTGTCCCCCGTGGGCCTCGCCTTGCTGGCTGCTTCCCCAGAGCTGCCTGCCCCCAGGGGAGGGGCCTGTGCTCCCCATTGTGACAGAGATAATGGGCCCCAGCCCCGGGGGGGGGGGGCAGCAGGCTGGCAGCTCAGGCTGGGCCTCTGCGCCTCGTGTCCCTCCCGGCTTCGGGATCCTGGCCCCTGGCCCCTGCTGCCCGGGTGCCCAGCTCTCCCTCAGGCCCCTTTTGCAGCCGGGAGGAGCCACCTCGGCACCCAGACAGGGCTGCTGGGGCCCACGGCAGCCACTGGCCTTCCCCACGCCCCCAGGGCCCCTCCCAAGGCACCCATCCGGGAAGGGAGGCCTGTGTGGGGCGTAGCGCTTCGCTCCACCCGCAGGAGCGGGACCCGGAAGAGGCTAATCGGCTGGGCCCGGCCTGCAGACCTGGGCTCGGGGCATCAAGCAGCCCTCGCTTCCGCCTCGCCTGGGGTGCTGAGGAGGGGGGCCCAGGGGCACGGGGCTGAGCGACAGCAGGGCTCCCCAGGCTGTCGCCAGAGAACGTGTCGCCCCTTCCCAGCTTCCTTCCATGGGAGGAGGCCCCCTCCTTGCCGGCAGAGGGTCCGGCGGGCCTCTGCCCTCCCCGAGGCTGACCCATGGCAGGGCCACCCGGCTCCCGCCACGGCCGGCGCTTAACTGGGGCCGGCCATGGACGCCCCTTGCTGGGGCGAGCACCCCCCGCCCCAGGTGGGGCTCAGCAGTCTGAACCGCTGCAGGGTGGAGGCGACCCTCCCCGGGCCACCCTGCCCGAGCGCCTTCCCCCTGCGGTGAGGGACCCCAGAGCACAAGGAGCTGCAAGGCCCCGGGAGCCGAGGGCGGGGGGGACGCCGGGCTCGGCAGCAGGGCGCGTGCGAAGGAGCCGGCCACACGAGCCACCGGTGTGCAGCTGCGAAAGGGCCGCGCTGTGGGAAGTGACATTAATGCGCTCAGTTCCTGTTGTAACCTGCGGTTTTGCAGATGAGACCAGAGACCGGATGGTAAAAATAAAGAGGAGTTTATTGACCTGCAAGATTTCTTGCAAGGACCAACATTCACGGTTAGAATGCGGCCCTGAACAGAGTTGGAATGAGGTTTTTATAGCTTCACAGTGAGCTTTCGGTAAATGGGAAACAATACAATCAAAAATCAGAACAATGGCGACAATGGGGAGTTACAGAATCACATAAGCAGTTGAGCAAGCGATATACAGAAGCAGATTTGGTTAGCAGTAAGTTTTATCTTTTAATTTACACCTTCTAAGCAATCTTTGTCCATTACGTTGTAGGTAAGCTCTTTCCACTTTCCGAGGGGAATTCTCTGAGGCAGTTACTAGACATTCGAATGGGCTAGAGCTTAGGAGAGCTAAGCCTATCATGCATACCCTGAGACAGTTTGATTATTCTAGTGTTTGGCCGTGTCATGCCTATCTGGAGCCTAGAGGAGTCATGCCTATCCTGAATGCCCTGAGAAAGCTGATAGATACTTCTATTATGTCAGGATCCTGGGGAGTCAGGCATAACATTCCTCACTGGTCTTAACAGGAATCGAATCATTGATTCTGAGGTAGGGTCCGGGGCGGCAGCTGAACCAGGAGAATCTCCAGTGGCCCTACTGGTCTTTAGGGCGATTTCCTTAGCAGTTTTATCAGCAAAATAAAAAATGGAAAACAGTTGGAAAAGCAGCAAAGAAAAAAAAAAATCAACACACATGATATGCAACCCCAATGCTAGTAGTCCTCCTGGGAAACTCCATGCTGATTTTGGCCTTCCTTTGGCTGCAAAGAACTCAGAGCCAGCCAGCGCTCATCCTCACCTGCTCCCCCACCTCTCCAGTTTTGCCACTCAATTCTGACGCCTGGTTCCTTTGCTCCCTAGGCCTCCTCTGACCCATTGCGGCCTTAGGCATTTCATCCCGTCTGGGCCGAGGCCCTCACGGTGATGACTATCCTGTTTTAGGCCACCACTCCTTCTGGTCAGCAAACTTGGTGCTTTGCAAGGTGGGAGCAGTGTGAGATGAAGCAATGACCTGATGTCCAGTTCTCCCGGTTGGCCTGGTTAGTTCTTTCCTTGTGGATGAAGCAATGGAGAAGGCAGAACACAGGGATGAATTCCCATCAGTCACTTCAGTTCCTGGAACCAGGGCGTAGCATGGGACACGGAGGGCTTTTCCTTCCAGGGCTGTAGAGAAAAAGAGTCCTTTTTTTTCTTTTCTGAGGTGCCAGTGTGGCTTGTTTGGTTCCTGGAAGGGTGCAGTTCAAAAACAGGTTAATTAAGAGGAGACTTTGGGCCAGTCACAGACTCTCAGCCCAACCTACCTCACAGGGTTGTTGTTGTGGGGATAAGATGGGGGAGGAGAGATGATGTAAGCTGCCTTGAGCCCTTTGTAGGAAAAAGGCAGGATAGAAATCGAAAAACAAACAAAAAAACTTTTACACTTCTCCACAGAAGCTAGTTGTAGACAGTAGCAGAGATCCACATGAGTTTGGAGAGAAACCTCAAGATGTAATAGTCTGTCCTTTCTTTAGCACAGTCTCAAGAAGAAAATGTGTGTTGCTGAAATCAATCCAATCAATGTAAAAATGCACAAAAAATAGATCCTTTGAACTGGTGTTGCATGAACCTGTTGCTTGCCTAGGCTAAAAAGAAAGGTGCTTTCTGCTGGACAACCAGAACAGTTTTACACAGTTTCTTATTACAGGGATGATACTCTCCCACACAGATGCAAAACGCACCAACCCATTGTTAGCACAAACAAACCTGAAGTTAT